CTGGAACAGGAAACGAATCTCATTGGTCTGAGTTCAATATCAGGTGGAGGGAAGATAAAAATCCTTTTAACATGTATCGTCTACTGTTGAGGAAAGGGTCTCTCTTTAAACCCTTATCCTTGCGTGTTTCTTATAATGAAGCGATATGGGAAGATTTAAGTTTATCAATAAATCTGCTTTTAATCTTTACACCAGTAGAGTATGCAAAGTTATACAGAGCTTCTGGGTCCAAACTATAGTATCCCTGACAAGCAATCAAATGTGTTGTTGTCCTATACGAAGTCTGACAATTCTCTCCTGACCCAGTATGATTATAGTACATCAGTGTTCTGAGTCATAGTAAGGCTTGTCTTCTCCCATCAGCTGTTGATGCCGGGTGTGAATCTGAAATTTACATACAATAGACAATAGCTGTTCTTTGCTATCAGATTGACTAACACTATTAAACCTGCATGTAATCTGACAACTTATTCATTTCAGTATATGGAGTTGTCTGTCTGTCATGATTATGTGGCCTCGCTATAATCTCAAGATCTTTTACGGGTTGCAGGGAGAACTGTGGTTCGTGACCCTAATCATTGGTGCATGGATTGACAGATATAAAACATAAACACCTTCAAGTCCCCTTTTGGTCTCTGCAAATCTCACTGAGACAATAAAAATTGACAACATAAAACCTCGACCCTTTTTTGGCTCCCCTCGACGGTCAGTACTCTGAAATGAAAAGAATCCGCGTTACAGAATTTTCATCACCATTGTTCTACTGGTGCCATGTGGTAGGTTACCTGGAAACTTGTCCCACAGGTTGTCAGGTTCTTGGGAGCTCCGCTCGTCGGCAGATTTCTGTCATGGATTGTTCCACACAAATGAGGGACTATAACAATCAAGCAAAACTACAACTACACAAAGCATCCCATCTTTGTTCTCTGGGAGGCAATCATTGATTTTATGATTGTAATCAATATGACACCCCCTCAAAAGAACTTTTGAACGTACTTAATTACTGCCAATAACTTATTGCTGGTTAGCCTTACCCATTGCTTATGTTCCTCTTCCCAAGTACAATACAATGATAAGTAAGAGAAAATGTAAACACGCTAAAGTAGCAACTTTCTTTTAGTTAGTCTTTCGTTGCGTCTACCTGTAGCTGGGTGGTAACACCCCAAAGTAAGTTCTTGCCTCTTCTTCCTTGCTCTCATGTGTGAGGCTGAGTGTAAAGGTATTACTTGCTTCTTCCTTCTGGCAGTTCTTAAGACTGCTTCCTTACATTTCGTCATGGATTCTCCCAGGTCCTTGCCGGTGGGTCAGATGTTCCGCCACATTGGGACCAGTGATACCCGGGGGGTCTCTTTGCCTTCCAGCCGTATGCGTGTGAGGTTACTCTTCCTTCACCCGCGTATTGTCTGTCCACCTTGGCTCTGGACACTCCTTTTGATGACCTTCAGCAACACCCACTCCGGTGTCTTTTTGGGGCCGGTGGCTGCTCCTGGCCTCTCTTGGATTACAGCTACCTGTTTGGAAAAGCCTGAACCCCAGTTGCGTTAGTTGTCATAGTATGGCTATTAGGCCAATGGAGGTGAAGTTTAATGTAACCAATGAGATTATTTCTGCCTCAGAGAAATGTTTGCTGAATGTCCAGTTTCAGTTCTTCACACCATTGTGAGACCAAGGCAGGTCACAGTAGAAAGAAGCTTTATCACCTGAAGTCTTGTACAACATTTTATACTTCCTTTAATCACAGTGGAGAAATACTAATATATATATTTCATATATTGAATCAGACCTAGCCAGGATCAGAAGCCATCATGTCTTTATCCCTTACCTTGTCATCTCTTTGGATGACCTCTGAACCATTACACTTGGTTGAAAGCTCCTTAAAGCTACTAACTCGACTATTGAGGCCTCCAGGCTCAAGTTCAGTTCTCTTTCATTTCACAGCAGTGTGATGTGCAAACTCATTGTAGAGAAACTACAAAGGGTGTAATCATTGATAAACAAT